ATATTACTATCTACAAAATTGTAGCTGATCTAAACTGCCAGCATTGGACCTTAGAAAAAAGAAATCCAGGATTTCTTTTGGGTCATAAAACAGTTTCATAATGATGTCATTTCAATAACATTGTATTTTCTGCCTAGGAGGGCTAATTCAATTTTCTCAGTCTCATGTTGACTCTACAGTCCTAGAAAATGATGTTACCAATTTTCTCCCAGTACTTTTACTTCAGTAGCACCATATTTTGAGACAAATTTTAAGAATCAAAGCTGGCTAATCCACATTCTTTAAAAATTTCTAATTATATTGTATTCAACTGAGTTAAGGGAAAATATTTTACTCTCTGAACACAGCAATAAATTCAAGACAATGAAAATGAGGGCCTGTACTTTGTCCAGTGTTAAACTCTTGAAACTTTTACCTATACAATTTTGGAACCATTTTATGGATTTAATATTATTACAATCAGTCCTTTGCATCCATGGATTCCGCATCTGTGGATTCAACCAACTGTGGATCAAAAACATTTGGAAAAAAATTCACGAAGTTCTAAGGAACAAAGCTTAAATTTGCAACCAGCTCAGCACTANTGGAAAAAAATTCACGAAGTTCTAAGGAACAAAGCTTAAATTTGCAACCAGCTCAGCACTATATTGAATCCATGAGAAAGAAGTGATGTGTAGATATTAGAGTAAGTATTGTAAGTAATCTAGTGATTAAAGTATAAGGGAGGATGTGTATAGGTTATATGCAAATACTATGCTATTTTATATAAGCATCTGCGGATTTTGGTATCCGTGGGGAGCTGAGTAGGGGTTGTCTTGGAACCAACCCACCATGGAAACCACAGAAAAACTGTATATAATTCACGTATTTAGCAGATTTGGTGTTCGGGTCAGGCTTCGATACCTTGGACTGTAAAAGGAGGCCTTTATTTCTTTGCTTACAGTCACTTTCAGAACTATTTCATATTGGATTGAATACTTGTCTAAGCTCAATTACTCATCATTCAAAGTCTTATCAATGCAGTTATTGATATTGCAGGTTCATTTTTACCTGTTATTTAGTCTTCCATTCCTTCCCTATTTATGTACTTGTTATTTTGTTCAGTCACTGGCTAAAGAATTGACATATCAAACCCAGTTTATTTTCTTTATTATTGTGAGAACACTTGATATCTCAGAAGATAGGTAGGTAAAAAAAATACCAAAACATATACTTGACAAACTCGACAAAGCCTTCTTGCAATACTGACAAAATTTTCTTGCAACTAAATAACAAAATAAAAAATGCCATTGACAATCTCCTTTCAAGTGGCATAAAAATGGAGTTCACATCTAAAAATTTCTATCTAACAGCTTCATTATAATTCTAGATTTCTGTTATATATTATGTAGGACAAAGTATAATATACAGAAACTACTACACAGGCTATAGCTGAACACAGAAATGGCACATAGTAACTACTTAATAGATGTTTTTTTGAATGAATGAATACTTTTTTTATCATTCTCTATTGAGACAAATAAAATATGTCTCTGGCTCTTCTTTCAAGAAAGCTGTAAATTATTTTGAATATCCTAATTAGTTTTAAATTTTTTAAGCCATCATTAATTCTCAGGTTATACAGAAGGACGGAAACCCCAACATTGCCAACTAGGTACTGACAAGCTTTAAATACTATGTGTGCACACATTGATTCATATGCCCACAGCCCTCAGAGCAATGAGCTTCAGGTATGTTTGAGTCTGGCCACCTCAATGCCTGCCTACAGTTCCCGCAAGAGGCAGCCCCCAGGCGAAGTGTTCCTGGAAGACTTCTCAGCCCTGCGTTTCAGAGGCCTAACATTAGCAGTCAGCATTCCCTGAAGTTATCTTTTCTGTGACCTCTCTAATGGACAAACAAAAAAATGCCAATTTATGAGCTGTCACTAGGCTCTGGGTGACAGAAACAGATGCCACCATCACTTCTCACTTAGTCAGTGAAGAAATGCCGTGGGAAAATGACTTTCGGCAGTGCGAATTAGCCAGTCACAAATTAAAGGGCCTTTTTATCCTATTATAAGCCTCCAGAGTCACCTAGGTCAGAAGGTAATGAATATGGAAATTCAGCCCAAGGTGCCTACTGGCTCTCTTCATTCTGTGGATGCCCCCAGAAAGGGGGGTAAAGTAGTTGGAGATATTAGCGCAATCTCTCAGTGAATTTATAAACAAATCGTTTATCTTGCTGTCCACTCATCAGGGGCCATAGATAAATGGCTTTGTAATCTCATTTGCTGAGCCATCAGCATTTATTTACATATCTATGGGTTTATAATTGCAGGCTCTTATAGCATATAATTAGCACATGCTGGCTCTTGGTGATCTCCCTTCTCTCTGAACTCCATTAGCACTTGCTATTTGTTTTGCTTCCTTGGCATTTTTAATTGCTAATCCGCAATGCTGGTGTGTTGGAGGGAGGTGTTTCATGTACACCCTCTTCTAAGGAAAACTACCTCAGCTGCAACTGCCCCTTCCCATTTGTCCCACTTGATTCAAACCCAATTCAGTCCCTTCCCTAGCCAAAACAGCCAAGACCATTGGACCAGGATTGGGTGCCTCACGCTGCCACCATGACATGTACGGTAGGGCTCAAAAGAAAACAAACAAAAAACCTGCCTACAGTTCCCGCAAGAGGCAGCCCCCAGGCGAAGTGTTCCTGGAAGACTTCTCAGACCTGCGTTTCAGAGGCCTAACATTAGCAGTCAGCATTCCCTGAAGTTATCTTTTCTGTGACCTCTCTAATGGACAAACAAAAAAATGCCAATTTATGAGCTGTCACTAGGCTCTGGGTGACAGAAACAGATGCCACCATCACTTCCCATTTAGTCAGTGAAGAAATGCCGTGGGAAAATGACTTTCGGCAGTGCAAATTAGCCAGTCACAAATTAAAGGGCCTTTTTATCCTATTATAAGCCTCCAGAGTCACCTAGGTCAGAAGGTAATGAATATGGAAATTCAGCCCAAGGTGCCTACTGGCTCTCTTCATTCTGTGGATGCCCCCAGAAAGGGGGGTAAAGTAGTTGGAGATATTAGCGCAATCTCTCAGTGAATTTATAAACAAATCATTTATCTTGCTGTCCACTCATCAGGGGCCATAGATAAATGGCTTTGTAATCTCATTTGCTGAGCCATCAGCATTTATTTACATATCTATGGGTTTATAATTGCAGGCTCTTATAGCATATAATTAGCACATGCTGGCTCTTGGTGATCTCCCTTCTCTCTGAACTCCATTAGCACTTGCTATTTGTTTTGCTTCCTTGGCATTTTTAATTGCTAATCCGCAATGCTGGTGTGTTGGAGGGAGGTGTTTCATGTACACCCTCTTCTAAGGAAAACTACCTCAGCTGCAACTGCCCCTTCCCATTTGTCCCACTTGATTCAAACCCAATTCAGTCCCTTCCCTAGCCAAAACAGCCAAGACCATTGGACCAGGATTGGGTGCCTCACGCTGCCACCATGACATGTACGGTAGGGCTCAAAAGAAAACAAACAAAAAAAACCCCCCAAAAATGGCAGGCCAGTTGAATTCTCCTGTGGAAAGTGAATAACGTGAATAAAAAGGCAGAAAACAATATTATCAGCTAGTAGCATAAGAAAAGATGAAGACATGTGGAGGGTAGCTGTAGCTGTGTCTGCTAATTATAGAGCACACCAGAGTGGNAAAAATGCCATTGACAATCTCCTTTCAAGTGGCATAAAAATGGAGTTCACATCTAAAAATTACTATCTAACAGCTTCATTATAATTCTAGATTTCTGTTATATATTATGTAGGACAAAGTATAATATACAGAAACTACTACACAAGCTATAGCTGAACACAGAAATGGCACATAGTAACTACTTAATAGATGTTTTTTTGAATGAATGAATACTTTTTCATCATTCTCTATTGAGACAAATAAAATATGTCTCTGGCTCTTCTTTCAAGAAAGCTGTAAATTATTTTGAATATCCTAATTAGTTTAAAATTTTTTAAGCCATCATTAATTCTCAGGTTATACAGAAGGACG